GTTGTTGCAGTCTATTAATAAGCCGTTGAAAGGCGTTTAATCAGCTCAAATTTGCCTTGTATGAGGTGGGAACGTCGAATTTCTTAACACCTAGGAAAAAAAAAACAAAAAACAAAAAAAAAAACGTAGCCACTCCAAAGAACTACAAAAAAGCTTGAGCAAAAACAAATGGCCTAGCAAGTGGTTGTTCAAAGAAAGTTTAGAGTAAAGGACACTATCCTTTAATTCTGCTACCAACAAAGGTATCTATCATATTAATGTGCTTATGTACACTCTTAACTTAAGTTAAGTTTCTCATTCTTTCCTTTCATCAGCTGCAGCAGTGTAAAGAAATGACAAGCCATAATTATTTTCGTTGGCCGTTTAATAGAGTATGGAAACAATTCGAAAATAATTTTCTGGTTGGGATGGCAAAACGGTGACCCCAGCCGCTTAACAGTGATGGTAACACGCAAATCTGGTTTGCAGTATAAAACTGATATTTCGATACATATTTTTAGGACTCTGACAACTGTCCGCTAAAGATAGGGCACTGTCCTAACTGTACCTTCAATACTGTATAATAGATATGGGTTATTGACCGAGTGTTCGGTCAAGATGGCTGGACATTGGCCAATTTTTTTTTTTTTTTTGCGTGTTTGTGGACCGAGACGGAATAACTAGCCATCTTGACCGAACAAGTTTGGTCAATAGAGGATTTATTATATGGCTAAATTTTTCTTGTGGGACACAGCGGGTAGTCCCGAGAGGCCAATCTAGCTCAAGCTTTCCCGCTCGGGTAGCCAATCGCAGCGTAGGAATTGATTCATCTTGCCCGCTCACGGAGCTAACAATATAATAATAATAGTTCATGTTTAAAAAACGATTCTTGGTCTTCCCGTAACGATTTGATTTCAAAACAATGAAGAGGAAAGAAAATCATCTATACCAATATGATACCTTACCATGTAAACAGTTTATGGAATTCTAATACCCGACATTTCTACCGTCCTTCAAAGTGCACGGGTTATTTTCTTTGACAAAATTCCTTTCATTAATATTTTCAGCTTCCTGCCTCTCACTGGTTAAAGAAGCCAATTCTACACAGGAGAGGTGCGCTCCAAAGTGATTAACAACCAAGAACCAAGAGGCCACAAAATCCACCATAACACCCAGAAGAAAAGGATTCATATTAAAATGACTTACTGTCCTGGTCTGTTCTAACTACAATGACAGGGTCATTAGCTGGTCCATTTCCTTTCACAGTAGATGCAAACACTTTGATATTGTAGTTGACGTACTCCTTTAGTTCTGTCAAATTCTTTTGACGATCATTGGCACCAACCAAAACACTTCCATCGTCATTCTCTGTTTGTGACCGGTAAGTAATGGTGTAAACCGTAATGATACCATTCTGTTTATCACCTGGAACTTCATCCCACATGACTAAGATGCTGGTTGAGCTGCTGTTCTGGCCTATTACATTTTGTGGAGCACCATCAGGTTCTGAAAGAATAAGTCCAAAACCAGTTAATTTTGCAATGATTGTCACCAGGCTTTCATATATGATTCCTACGAAGACTTCCAAAAGAACTTTTTTTTAAGGTTGTCAAGGACATGTCTGTTAGTTGCCTGATGTAGTGGGAACTGTACACTCGTAATATTTACGTACAAAAAAATGTTATAACATAAAGGCTGTTGCAGTCTATTAATAAGCCGTTGACAGGCGTTTAATCAGCTCAAATTTGCCTTGTATAAGGTGGGAACGTCCAATTTTTTTTAACACCTAGGAAAAAAACATAGCCACTCGAAAGAACTACGAAAAAGCTCTAGGGAAAACAAGTGGTTGTTCAAAGAAAGTTTGGAGTAAAGGACACCATCCCCTAATTCTGCTTGCAACGAAGGTACCTATCACATTATTGTGCTTATGCACACTCCTAACTTAAGTTAAGTGTCTCATTCTTTTCTTTCAAAACAAGTTAACTTTGAATGGTGGTTGATTGGGCTTTGCTGTGTTTTCTTTGACAAAATTCCTGTCATTGATATTTTCAGTTTTCTGCCTCTAACTGGTTAAAGAAGCCAATTTTACACAGGAGAGGTCAGCTCGAAAGTGATTAACAAACAAGAACGAAGCAGCCACAAAATCCACCATAACACCCACAGGAAAACGATTCAAATTAAAATGACTTACTGTCCTGGTCTGTTCTAACTACAACAACAGGGTCATTGGCTGGTCCATTTCCTTTGACAGTAGATGCAAACACTGTGATATTGTAGTTGACATACTCCTTTAGTTCTGTCAAATTCTTTTGACGATCATTGGCACCAACCAAAACACTTCCATTGTTATTCTCTGTTTGTGACTGGTATATAATGGTGTAACCCGTGATGATACCATTCTGTTTATCAGCTAAAACTTCGTCCCACGTGACTAAGATGCTGGTTGAGCTGCTGTTCTGTCCTATCACATTTTGTGGAGCGCCATTAGGTTCTGATAGAAAAGTTCAAAACAAGGTAACTTTGAATGGTGGTTGATTGGGCTTTGCTGTGTTTATATGAGTTACTAATTAATGACCTGCTTCTTTTAGCGTTTGCCATAGACCTTCCTCTTGGTAGTTACTAGTGTTAGATCTGGATCTCGTGCTGTGTGATGTCTATGAAAACAAAAGCCTGCCAGAGATCACTATGCCACTCTAGGCTAGTAGTTTATAAGAAGCTTTAAATAGAAGTTCATAGAAGTAATAATCCTCGGTCTGCCATGTGCTAAACAACGTTGAGAGCGAATTGTTTTCCCATACTTTCTCAGCACTCTGATCAATGCGTGTTCTCCCGGTAAGTTTAAAAATGGAGTAAGCTGATCGCGGTACAAATGTGGAAATATATTTCCGGAGTTTCTAAAGTTGTCGACGGGAAAAAGAACGAAAAAGTCCCAAAAGCTGCCCGTGATACGAAGGGAATACCAGGTTGGGGTAGTGGTGGTGGTGGTGGTGGGGGTAAACTTATGGGCGAGAGAAAAGTGGTCCGGGCGAGAGCATTTTGAGGGTCACCCGAATGGCGAGTGCTCCCAAAATTAAGTGTCCAACCCTGATACAGTGCTCTGACAGTGTTCATTCAATTCAACTAAAGACAGGCAAAGGTCCGGCCTAAACAACGCTCACCAATACGTAAAGTTAATGCGGACCTTTGACCTATTGCGTGTGAGACTTGCTCGTCGATCTAAATTGGTATAAATGGACGATGTGTTCTTATTTTGAGTTTGTCCGTGGGCGCAAATTTTCGTATACTCGATAAAGCACAATCCAGACTCAAAAAA